GGCATTCTGCGATATGCAAAAGTGCCATAAGGACAGGTAAAAGTGGTCTTCTCCTGATCATCTAGATGGATGGGGGTCTGAAAGAAGCCTGAATACCCATCAAGGAAGTAGTAATACTTTTGATTCGCCAGCCTCTCTAGCATCTGATCGATGAAAGGCAGAGGAAAATGATATTTCCTTGTTGCTCCATTCAGTTTCCTGTAATCAATGCACATCATATGTCTTGTCACAGTCCTGGTTGGAATCATCTCATCCTTGTCATTCTTCACCACTGTGACACCTCCTTTCTTAGGCACCACGTGCACTGGACTCACCCTAGCACTGTCTGATATAGGATATATGATACCAGCCTGCAACAACTTTATAATCTCTTTCTTGACCACATCCTACAAATTCGGATTCAGCCTCCTCTGATGCTCAACTGATGATTTCGACTCATCCTCCGAGTGTATCATATGCATGCACAAGTCTGGAGAGATCCCTAAAATATCATCAACAGAATAGCCAAGAGCTTTGCAAAATTTTTGCAGCTTACTTAGCAAAAGGGTGAGCTCTGCATTGTTCAATAAAGCATTAACAATAACAGGATATGTGGAGTTTTCTCCAAGAAATGCGTACCTTAGCCCTACAGGGAGCTGTTTAAGCTCAACTTTTGGTGCTTTTGTTGCAGACCAATCACCCATTGTAGCAGCTTTCGCAGATGTGGAGACAAGTTCACCCTGTGCAACCAGTTGTATCACTTATGCAGTAGTATCGATCATCTTTGTGTAGCCTGTTGCAGCAACATCCAAATACTCATACTCTGCTGTAGAAGTGATCAACGCCCTCTCCAAGGGGTCCTCTGAACTCATCTCATGGAAGACCTGATCAGGAATGTTTGTAAGAACATCCACATAAAAAGTCTGTCCATCTATGGTTGGCCTCTTCATCAACTTGTCCATTTCGAATTTTATCACTAAATCACCAACATTCAGCTCTATTCTACCCTTCCTGACATCAATGATAGCTCCTGTAGTAGCCAAGAAGGGTCTGCCAAGAATCTAGGGATCTTTGGGTTCGTCTCCATATTCCAGAACTACAAAATCAGTAGGAATCATACAATCTCCTACTTTGATAGGAACATCCTCTATCACCCCTTCAGGGACTCTGGCTGATCTATCAGCTAGGACAAGAGATATCCTTGTAGCCTTAAAATCGGTCATCCCCAAGCTCTTGGCAACAGAATGAGGCATGAGGTTCACACTAGAACCAAGATCACACAATGACCTCTCAAACTTGTCATTAAAGATTGTGCAGTCTAAAACAAAGCTTCCTGGGTCTGAAAGCTTCTCTGGAACTCTGTTCTGAATCACTGCACTGACCTGCTCGTTGATCATCATAGCCTCAACCTCTAAACTCAAGTTATTGGTCACCATCCTCTTTACATACCTCCTTGTAACAGGAGTGATCCTTACAGCATCAATCAATGGGATCTCAATAACCAATTTGTCCATGATAGTCTTGCATTTAGCATCTTCAAGCTCCTCCTTAGACTTCTTAGGATGCTTAGGATAGGGTATCTTGGGCTTATACACTGTCTCCTTAGCATTATCTGAAGTCTTAGACGAAACTGCAGTATGTGGCAACGGGTGACGAGCGTCACTGGGATAGTGACGAGCATCACTCGCTTTGGACAAGTCGGGATTGATTGCTCAATTTGGGTGACGAGCGTCACCCTCCCGGTGACGGTCGTCACCAATTTATGAAGAGGGGTCGTCGGGGTTGTGCTCGATGGGTGACGAGCGACACCCATCATTGGTGACGAGCGTCACCCATCATTGGTGACGAGCGTCACCCGTGTTTCTTCAGCAGAAATTTCTTCATCTTCATACTCTTCAATACCCACAAAATTTCTTGAGGTTAAATCCTTATGCAACACTGGTTGCAAGTTCTTTTCACTCCTCAATGTGATGGCATTCACATGGTATTTGGGATTAGCATCAGTTCTTCCTGGAAGAAATCCTTCTTGCCTCTGAACAGGTCATGCAGTTTGGACAACTTGAACATCAAGTTTCTTCATATGAGAGTTCAGACTCTCAATTTTCCCATTCAAATCCTGATAGAACGAATTTATCTTGCCATTGAAGTCCACTGTAAGCTTCTGTTGTCCTTCCAAGATCTGTTCCAGCATTGCTTCCATCTTGTTCCCTTGTGGAGGTGCAGGTTGGTAGGAAGAAGAACCATAGTTCCTGCTGTAATTTCCACTGTTCTGGAATGGCTTCTGGTACTCTATCTTCTGGAATGGGGGCTTAGGTGTGTAACCAGGCGTGCTCTGACCTCCTGTAAAGGTACTCTTCTGATTGTTGTTGTTGTAGCCTCTGTTCCACTGCTGATTCCCATACCTTTGACCCTGTAAACCGCCAGAATTGATGAAATTTACATCCTCCTGTTCAACCTCCTCTAGAACTTCGAAAGTTTCCACTTCTGCAACAAAGTGAACTGACTTCTTTCCCACCAAAAGGCTGTGCATACTGTCCAGCTTAGCCTTAACTTCAGCAATCTGATTTCCATCATCCACACCAGCTTGTTTTATCCTCTAACAGTTTGCATTTTTAGTGTTGTTGCTGCATATCAAATTCTCAATCAGTCTGGTCGCTTCCTCTGGTCTGTTGGTGTTGAAGTTTCCTGCACTTGCTGCATCCAGCGCCATCTGATACTTCCAGTCAATGCCTCTGAAGAAGATCCCGAGTAATTGCACCTGACTGAAGCCATGATGAGGACATTCCCTTTGATAAGACTTAAACCTGATCCAAGAAGCCTTAAAAGCTTCAGTAGGACCTTGTGTAAAGGATGCAATTTTCGTCCTCATGTCTTCTGACCTTGCATCATCATAGAAGTTATTCAGAAAGGCATTCTTAGTGTCTTCCCAAGTGGTCAATGAAGCAGGTTCCAGTTGCTTCAGCCAATATGCAGCTTCTCCTTCAAGAGAGTAAGGGAAAAGCTTGCAGAACAGAAAGTCATTGCTAACACCATTAGCTTTGACACTGGAAGCTAAGTCCTCAAACCTCTCAATGTGATCCATAGGGTGCTCATGAGGTAATCCATGGAATGGATGCTGGCCAACCAGCTGATAGTAGATAGGTTTAACCTCAAAATCGTTCCTCTGGAAGGCAGGAGGGCGGATTGCAGCTCTGTTGGCATAGAACTGATCAGGTATGTTGTAGTCACCTAAATTCCTCTGAACAAAACGCCCAACAGCGTTATTTGAAGCAACAGGGAATCCAACGTTCTTATCTACTTGTTGAACCTGCTGTTCAACAATGACATTCCCCTCTTGATCAATCCTCTGCCCCTCTTCGTTCCTCCTGTTTCCTTCTCTGTCAACCAAGTGACCTTCTGCATCTTCAACCAAGATAAGTGGAGCGACCATTGTAGATTGCTTCTTAGCTTTTCTGTTAGTTCTCTCCAACCTAGCTAGTTCGTCGATGCTCAAAGTCACAAGCTCATTCTCCTTGTTGCTTCTGGTACTGCGATTAGACATACACCTGAAACCAGCACAAAGAAAAGAAACTGAAAGTCAGTAAACAAATTAAAACTTAGACAAAATCCTAATACTAAAAATTGATAGGCAGCTATTACTCCCCAACAACGGCGCCAAAAACTTGATAGGGCTCAGGTTTTATCCAAATAAGACTACTGCAAGTGCACAGCAAAAGCAGTTGTAGTACAAGGGGTATCGAATCCCAAGAGAGTATTGTAAACTACACTATCGAATGTAGGTCCGGATCAAGCTAAGCAGAATGTAATGTATGTAATGCGAATGATTAGATAAAAGTAAACAAGCGATTTTGTAAGATGATCTAAGTTTCAGAAGACTAAAAGCGCTAAGTCAGGACAGTTCGCAGGTTGAATCCAAGAATGTAGAATACATGAAATCAGGAATGATTAAGAACCATTTTAAACATGAATCATTGATGTATAACTAATCAATTCTCGTTGCAGAAGTTATCTATGCCTAAATCACAGGGTTTCAGATCTCTTTGCAAACTCTAACAACCTAAGCATGCAGGAATGATCAGATTCAATTGTTCACAAAACTCCTAAGCCAAATCTCTTTGCACTAAGTTGTTTTACTCATCAAATACTAGTTCAGGTTATCAATAATGCTCTCACATATATTTAACAAACTATGATTTTCGGATTCCTACATGATGTGCCTCAAAAATTCGATTTTAAAGCAAGCAGAGATGAAAAACCAAAAGATATTCCTAACAGGTAGCAATTCTACAAAATCTTCATCAACCTTTGAAAAAGCCCTAACTTAACTAGCAGATTACTCAGACATGATTATGGAATCACAAAACATAACTGAATAAAATTGCATTAAGAGAAAGAGTAAAAGAATAAGGGGGTTCGAAATCTTCTCAAAAGAGTACATGATTTGTCTCCCCAAAAAGCTCTGAATAAATCTCTCTCTGAGCTCTCTGAATTCTCAAAAACTAAGATAAAAGCCAACAATGGCTGAAAAACCTAATAAATAGAGGCTAAACACGATCTGGAGTCTTTTTGCAAATAATGGAACTTCTAGGCTAATTCTGCAAATAATGCTCAATCTTTTAATAAATAGCCACGACCTCCTTCCCTGGTGGTTGACGAGCATCACCAAAGGTGGTGACGAGCGTCACCTATATGGATACTTATCTTCCCGAGTTGGATACTTCGTGGCTTCAACTTACAATGCTCCAAAAAGCTTCAATATCTCCAATTATGCTCCAGACATGCTATAACCTGCTAAGACTCTTCTAGGACTCTAAAAAGACCAAAAAGACTCAACAAAAAGGACTTATATCATGGTTAAAAACCATAAAAACCATGATATATCAAGGTTCAAGTGCGTGTCAAAGCTCTGGTCTCGTCTTATCCGTTGTCGATATTTTACCAACCTTTACCATACGGTCGCATCGTTCCGACCTCGTCTATACGTGAGTTTGGTGGACCATGTCCGCTGTGATGTTGATTCAATGGAGTGCCACCACGACCCCGGAAAGTCAATGCTGCTTTCATTATCATCATCGTCTAGTAATAGCCATCTGACCATGCCTGGGGTGGGAGGACACAACATGGTGGATCTTCGTAGCTTGATTTTGTATAAGGCTTGCAGAAATACCTGCATCTATAACCCCACCACCAGACAAAGCCTGACCTTGCCCGCCGTCAAATCCAACATATTTGCCCAACAAGACTCTCTCAAGTACGTCTTCTACTACCTCGGACATGATCCTGTTCTTGATCAATACAAAGTTGTCTGCAATGTTGCTCTAAGTTCCCAGAAAGATTTCAAAAGGATAACCTCGGAGCATTGGGTCTTGGTGCTGAAAGCCGGAGATTCCTGGACCAAAAAAGAGTTTGATCAATCTCACTTGCCTACAAAACTAGGGTCGTGCAGCAATGGAGTTATACACTACTTGGCTACCACTAGTGCCTCTCGCCCTACCAACCTTTTCTGTTTCGACGTTAGGTCTCAAGAGTTTAACATGATTAAAGAGGTGCCTGAATTTGGTGAGCATGTGAGAGTCATAGAATATGGTGGAAAGCTGACAGTTTTTGATCATACTCATCTTCCACAAAATGGTTTGGTTGACTTATGGGTCCTGGAAGATGGTGGAAAATGGTCCAGGAAACCTCTAGCTTTGCAGCCTTCTCAGATGCATTTAGTCGATGGCATTAACCAGTTGGTCCTGAAATGTACAACTCAGAACGGGGACATCATCTTGGTACCCAACCCGATGCCTTCCTCTAGTTACTTTCTCTTTTATGATCCGCAAAAGAATGATCTGCAAAAGGTTAATGTCAGTGTAACATAGGACCGCGGGTTTGGTGAGACATACATTTATTTCAAGCATATGAGTGAAAACATCATGCACTTGAGTGCTATTACTTAATCTAGATTTAAGTTAAGGAAGCCCGACCACATTGTAGATAGAATGGGGTGCTTTGTGGTTTATGGCTTTGCTGTTGTAAGAGATTGTTTAAGGGAATGTGCGGTCACGGCCATTTGGATGAAGCAGTTGAGATGTTAGATACACCGTGTGCCTTTGCCACAGTTTATCTCTTTTGTACAAGAGGATGTGCTTCCGAAGCAAAGGCCCTGTGTCTGCAAAATGGTTTCTCGACTTGTTTTTTGGAGTTGGTTTGGTAACTTACTCTACTCTAATCTTATTCAGGGATTTGTACTTTTATTTTTACTTATTTTAGACTACATTAAGGTGTTGTTAGATCATGGTTTTTGAAGTAATTTTCAATTTGCAAACTTTTAGTGGGTTGTAATGTACTTTTGTGAATTGGCCTTGCTTTAAATAATCTAAGATTTCACAAGAATCAATTACAAATTGTCTTATCTTTCTCAGCCTATTTCTATAATTTGATGCCAACACCTTACACATATCTGCATCAAGGACACATATTTACATCCTCAAATTACTTATTGACAAATTGGTCAGTGAATACAGATCATAGTCCTTTATCAGCAGAAGATTCTGTAAATGTCTATGCCACACAGAGTTAGCAGAAACTCAAAGCTGCATAGATTATCAACTGCTCAAAAACCAAAATCAACTCGAGCAGTGACAAGAAATAAAACAAGAGGAAGTGATTGTGATGTATCATCGAACCTGATATCCACAAGGTTTGAGCTGTTGATCAGTCAAGTCTATCTCCCCAGCACATAGAAAACAAGTCTTCTTCTCTCCTTTTTCATCAGGATTTTCTATTCGTGTGGCTTGGTCGGCAAAACTCGTGCCCTTGTTTCGGATTGTTCTGTACCGAGAATCAAGAAAGCCAGAAGAAAAAGAAGAAGTAATTACTTGAAAAACTAGTACAGTCAGAGGAAGAGGTGGGGAGCTTCCTTCAGCAAACGCTTTCGCCATTTCTTCAAACTCGGTTGCTACTTCTCCTTCATCAGTATCCTTACTACAAACCTGAACCATAAGCATAACCTCAGCGATTCTTGTCTCTGGCGTCTTCATCGTTCAAAAACACGACGGGCTTTCTCCCTTATTGTAGCTAAGATGAAAGGGAGAAAATCAAATTAGACAAAGAGTCATGTTAAGAGCTATAAACATAAACAGCCGTATACGTACACATATAGACAGTCAGGCAGTCGTAGTCATATATAGCGTTTTCGATTCCCGTTATTGTCGTGGAAACATAAGCCTTATTGCTTACCCAAAAAAATGGGTACATGCTGCATGTCAAGGGCAATCCATCATTAAAACAAATAGATTATGATAAGTACATGCTGCATGTCAATGTTGATACAATGGAGACTGTTTTCAGGAAACTAACATATATGTTAAGATTTCATATCAGAAATCCAGAGAGGAGCTATGTAATATATAAGTAATATTAATTGTACTAGGTATTTACCCGCACTACGTTGCGGGATACTTTTCTAAAATTTGTATATATTTTTAAAATAATAAAATTATTTTTATAATGTAAATAAGCTTTATATTTATTTTTTTATTAGCTTAATTTATGTATTTATATGTTTTAATTTGAATAAACATTGTATATCTTTAATTTTTTTATTTTTCGAAATTAGAATTTGCTAATAATTTTGTTTAGCTAACTAATTATATATGTATATGTAAGAATAAAACAATATATTTTTTTAATACATTCATGCTAATGGTAAATGTAATCTATTTTTCTCCAATAAATTGTCACTTGATTCTCTTTTATAATTATATAAAGCAAAATGTCATTTAAAAAAAGATTTATTAATTAATATGATTATCTTGAATTATAAAATTTATTTATTTATCAAATATTTATTATTAACATATATTTCTAAAACTACAAAACTATAATCAATAACATCCATATCAAAACCATTGCTATTGCTTTAGAACTAAATAGAAAATTCTGTTTGAATTGTTGAAATATCGTTTTAGTTGAAGTTAATAATTAAATTTTGGTTACTCTAAACATACTTAAACTTAGAAATTTAGCACACAGGAATTTCATCTTCCTACAAAAATCGAGAAATCGTATTTCCCATCAAAACCAAAAAAAATCATTTTCTCATGAAACTAAGAAAGCGCCCTGCCAAAACCAAAAAATTCGTTTTATCGTCAAACCTAGATCCTAAAAATTTTATTTTCTTGCGAGAACCTGTGTTTTCTCGCCAAAACCAAAAAAATCATGTTTTTTCACCAAAACCAAAAAAATTCATCATCCTGCAAAAACCAAAAAATCGTATTTTTCCGTCAAAACCGAAAATTTTAATTTCCTGCAAAAACAGAGAAATTTTCTATTCCCGTTAAAACCAAAAATTTATTTTCTCTTCAAACCAAGAATCACGCTTTCCTACCAAAATAAATAAACTACAATTTCTCGCAAAAATTAAAAATTGCATTATCTCCCGAGAAATTGTGGTTTCCCGTGAAAACTAAGAAATTGAATTTTCCCGCGAAAACAAAAATAATCACATTATTCGTGAAAAGCTGAAAATTTGCATTTCCCATTTAAACCAAGAAATTGCTTATTCCCGCCAAAGTCGAGAAATTTTTTTTCCCATCAAACCGAGAAATTGCATTTTCCGCCAAAATCGTCAAATTCTAATTTTCCGCAAAAACTAAATAATCACATTTTCACGCAAAAACCAAGAAATCGCACTATCGGTCAAAAGCCAAAAAATTGCATTTCCTACTAAAACTGAAAAATCGCATTTTTTTTTTCAAAATTGAAAAGTTGTTTTTCTCATCAAAATCGAGCATTTTCTCACCAAAACCAAAAATTCACATTTTCTCGCCAAATCCAAAAATTTGTTTTTTTCCGCCATCAGTAAGAAATTATGTTTTGCTACCAAAACTGAAAATTACATTTGCCTACCGAAACCAAGAAATCTCATATTCTCGACAAAACAGAAAAATTCCTTATTCCCGCCAAAGGCAAGAAAAATTGTTTTCTCGTCGAACAGAGAAATCGTGTTTTCCTAACAAAACTGGAAAATTGTATTTTTTCGCCAAAATCGTAAAATTTCATTTTTTTGCAAAAATTGTGAAATTATATTTTCAAGCACCAAGAAATCGCATTATCCATCAAAAACAGAAAATTTTGTTGTCAATCAAAAACAAAGATTTTTTTTTTTATTTGTTGTTATTTATTATTTAGGCTTGAGTTTTTATTTATTTATTATTATTAATTATTTGGGCTTGGGTTTGGTAAAAAATAAAATAAAAATTAATAGAAAAAGTATTTGGATTTTTAATGGATTTAAATTTAAAAATTAAAATAAGTAGATGTGTTGTATTAATAAAATATTTTGATTGGTGAATATTTTTGCTGAGGTATCATCTTCAGAAAGCTCTAAAATGCTGATGTGTCATCTCCTGGAAAGACATTTGTGTTATTGTTGTATTGATTACCAATGATCGAATAATATTGATTTAAGTTTCCAAGACATTTGTATTTTTTTTTCTACACTCTAAAATGGTTCATATAAACAAACTGAACCGAGTTAGTGAAACTGAACCGATCAGTTATGTTATTTGTATTCTAGTATTTGATAAGAAAAATGTGGAATTCCACGTAAATGGTATAGGCGAAGATGGTCCAACGAGACTTTAAAGTAAAACTAAAAATCAATAAGAAGACGCAATGACATTGTATTCACCTGATTTAATATTCTACGTTCATATTTCATGGGATTTTGTTGTTGACCGCTTATTATTGTCTCACTAGCTAGTCATAGGCCAAACTGAGTAACTTAGCCATAAACCATCTCCTCAATCATAATTTTTTTCATGTACATGCAATATTAATGGACTTTTGATATAATGTTGTTGCTCTTTCACCAATTTGATTTTATCCAAATATGTCACACAGCTGGGAACTAACAAGCTATCTACCTAATCGTCTGTGAAGCGGGAAATGTTGTCACTAGATAATGTTTAGATATACGTAGTATAACTAGACCTTGAACGAAAGCTCCTCCTTTAGAAAATCATTCTCTTACTAATTTCCATTTATCTGTTGTTATACAGGAGGCTGTGTTTGTACCATCAGCTGAGCCACAAGACACTAGTTATTTCATGGTGGCGGTGATTTTGATATATATGGAACCCGGTAGATGAAAATGTTCATGGAGGTAGCGATTTTGATGACCTAACAGACACATGCAGCAGCAGCTCCTTCAGCACATACGAGGAAGATGTATTTATATGACTCTCTTTTCACTCTATTTCTTTACCAAATTTTAGTGTTTCATATGAAAACTCACCATAACAAAATGTTTACATTGTAAATCAGGGCGATGAGTGTGGTAGCTTAGTAGAATTTGGAAACGGGCCGAATCTTGCTGTGAAGTATTCCTTGAGCAACTTTTATTTCAAGGTCAGTTAGCAACATTCTTACGGCTCTTTGGCTTTGCCTTTGAATGCTTATTCCTACGACCTTATGCTGAAGAATGCTAATGAATCAACATAAGCCTCAAGCCCCAAATATGAATTGAGCATCTACCTCGAGATCTGAATGGTTCTGGTTCAAGCCGTTGTTCTCTTATCTTAGGGGCAAGAACAGAAAATAAGTAATAATAACTTGTGGAAACATAGCATTAGATAGGAAAAGAGCTGTGGAGTTTTCATATCTTAACCCCTGACTCCTGAAGATTAATACTCTCTATTCCACATATATGTATACAAAAGTAACAAACTCTTTATCATAAAATAACAATGACCCTTAATTCCTGAGATTATCTTTCTAGTGACTAGTGGTGACATAAAAATTGTTAAGCTCGTTTTATTATTTATCAGAAAAATTAAGAATAGTATTGATATAATTTATTCGTTATATTGGTCAACTACATGAATCTATAATATGGGTACATAACGAACCTTGTAATAATTCAATGACATTTTTGCCCAACGATTGTACATCTTGGAGAATGAGGATGAACGAGTTGAAAATGACATATTTGTAAACATTTGCGCAAAGATCGTCCTTTCCGAAGAAGATGTGGAGCATAAATTGCATGGGAGAAGTTCTTGCGAATATTTCCATGAAGATTTCTTTCTGACCTTAATCGACGAAGTAAACATTTAATTCACCAATTTAGCTTCTAGATACCGCAGATTTAGGCTATGGTTGATGTTTTGCTGTAATTTCAGACATGTATTGGACATCCCAAGATTCACATTGCAAAAATCTTGGGAGATGATTTCCATAAGTCTTGTGTTATACTGGGATGATGTTGAATGCTAACGGTCCTGTGAGCATAAAGAGACTGAAGAAGGCAAATGTGGTTGTGTTTAGTGCTTTGATTCACAGTGCTGAATAAATGACATATCCAAATGTATTATCTACATTTAAAAACATAAAAAAAAAATCATTTACTGTTCTTTTACATTTAAAAATTAAAAGCAAAAAATTATTCTAACAACTACAAATATTCATGGCCTTTAAACAGTTAAACAATTAGATTCTCTATATCGAGATTCTCTAATTATATGTTAAGAGTATAAAATTTGATATTTAACTCCTTTCTTTTTTTCTTAAAATACGTTAAGATTTCAGTTATACATTCTACATTTAGGCAACACTCTTAGTAAGTAAAATAATATTAAAATCCCAAATAGATTACCATATCCAAATTTACTGATTTCTTCTATTTTTTTGCTATTTTTGGAAGTAAGTAATTGTCTAACAAGCATCGACCTGCTATTATGTATTAAACTAAAACCAAATATATTTCTAAAAAAAAAAAAGAGAAAGAGAGAATAGAGGATAACCACTAACCTTACAATGGAGTTGAATAAAAGACCTCAAACATAAAATAGTCAATGAAAAAACATTACTTCCTTAGAACCTCCAAAACCAAAAAAAAAAAAAAAAAAAATTGAACTTCAAACATCATTTCTTCACATTCTATCAAATTTACAAAACAAATCTTCAAACATCAATTCTTCAAAGTCTATCAAATTTACAAATCAAAATGATGCTATTATTTAAACCGTCAGCGACCCTAGGGAAAAGGTCGAAACCTCGTCCATACCAAAGCTTCTCCGAGTCTCTATTGATCGATAGTATTGAAGCAACCGAAACTTTCACAAGAAAATGGATTTCTCCAGATCTCTCTGCTTCTTCTTCATGCTCCCTCTCCTCCATCTTCTCCACCCAAAATCGAGTCGAAGGAAGAAGATTCATCGAAGTCATTAATAGCTTGCAATACGCGATTCAAGGAGTAATGTTGGTGAATCCCGAGTCACATAAGCTCGCTCGAGCGCATAGCCTTGTCACCATCGCGATGAAACACTTGGAGAAGGAGTTCTATCGAGTTCTGAAATCGAATCGACGAAATCTCGATCCTGAATCCATCTCTGTTCGATCTTCGGAATCGTTTAACGCGAGGAAGAAAGTCTCGGTTTACTCCAACGCTCCGAAATCTGAAGATGCAGATGTCATGACTGATTTGAAATTGATCGCTGATTGTATGATATCTTCTGGCTACGAGAACGAGTGCGTTAAGATCTACAAGAAGATAAGAAAATCGATCATCGTCGAAGCGTTGAACAATCTGGGATTCGAGAATCTGATTTTTGGTAAGGTTCAGAAATTGGAGTGGGAGAGTATGGAGAAGAAGATACAGAGCTGGTTAGAAGCTGCGAAGATTATAATAGCGAATCTGTTCGAAGGAGAACGAATCTTATGCGATCACGTTTTCTCCACTTCCGTCTCCGTCGCCGAGTCTTGCTTCTCCGAGATCACGCTTGACAGTGCTTTGACTCTCTTCGTCTTCCCCGTGAGTGTCGCGAAATGCCGAAAAACCGTCGAGAAGATCTTCTCGACTCTCGACGTTTACCAGACGATCTCTCGTCTTCTTCCCCAAATCGAAGAGATCTTCAGCTACGATTCGACTTCCGCTGTTCGATTACAAGCCGCCGATTCGCTCACCAACCTCGGCGAATCGATCAATTCGATGGTCGCCGAATTCGAAGCTTCCATCACGAAGGAATCCTCGAAATCTCCGATTCCTGGAGGCGGAGTTCATCCGCTCACGAGATATGTGATGAATTTCATCGTCTTCCTCGCCGATTACAACGAATCTCTCGCCGGAGTTCTCACCGAATCGACATTACCTTTACCGGAAGATTACTTCGGAAACAACGACGACGATAACAACAACGACGCAGGCGATTCAGGATCTTCTTCAAAGGTGACCACTAGAATCGCGTGGCTAATCCTCGTCTTGCTCTGTAAAATCGACACTAAATCTCGGATCTACAACGACATGGCTCTATCGTATCTCTTCTTAGCCAACAATCTCCATTACGTGATCTCGAAAGTCCGTACGTCGAATCTGAGAGTCGTGTTGGGAGACGAGTGGGTGACGAATCACGAAGGGAAACTGAGTCAATACCTGGAGAAGTACGAGAAAATAGCTTGGGGAGAAGTGATGGCGTCACTCTCCGACGAAGAGACGATGCTCGAGGAAGACGCGGCGAAAGAGCGTTTGAAGCGGTTCAACGAAGCGTTTGAGGAAGCGTTTCAGAAGCAGAGCAGCTGGGTCGTACCGGATTCGAAAATGAGAGACGAGTTAAAAGATTCCGTGGCGAAGAAACTAACCGATGCTGCGTCGTCGTTTTATGGAAAGTACCACGTGGAGGCTTGGGAAGAAATTGTCAGATTTGTCCCTGAAGATTTGGGTAATTACCTTACTGACCTCTTTTTAGGTACGGGGGGATCTTGTATTATTGTTCCTTCGCTTAAGCCTTCCGAATCGGGACGTTCACTTTCCGAATCGGGACGTTGAAGGAAAATTAGAGGGAATGGCGTTTGTGTAAATATATACGTTTAAGGATCTTGAGATGAAACATTGATCGTTGGATCGATCATCTTCGAGACACGTGTTGGCATGTGGTCGCTTGGCAAGTGTGTGGGTGGCTTTTGTAAAAGTTTTATAGCCCTCAAAACGTAGAAGATATGCTTATTTCTTTATGAAAGCGGGAAAGCCCATATAGATTTGTGGCTATATATATATATACATATAACTCGTTGGTGTGATGATATCGACATTTTTTTTGTATTAATAAACAAAGATAATGTTGAACGGATCCTATTACAAGATAAATTAGTATTATTAGCACAAACGAGTGAAGTTTATGTTCTTGAGAAAGTAAATAATATTTATCGAGAGTTCACTTTCATTAGAAGTAACAAAGAAAACTCAACGTTGGTCCCTAGTTTTGGTTTTGATAAGTTGGCAATTGGATACCCAAGATTAATCTAAAAATGAAAGAAAAATCAGTGTGCGGTGAAGGGGGGAAAAAGTGAAATGAAGCTACGTGATCTTTACTTGGAGCAATGGTAAAAGTTAAAAACTAAGGAATATAGTTAGAGCAATGGTAAAAGTTAAAAACTAAGTGAAATGAAGCTACGTGAGCTTCACTTGGAGCAATGGTATATAGTAGTACTATATAGCCCACTCTAATGAATAAAGATAAATAGATGATTCCCCAAAAACAATAATATAATACTTATCTTCTTCTTACTAAAAAAAGTAAAAACCCTAGAAAAACCACAGAACAAAGATGCAAGCAATCGCTCCTTTAGCCTGGAGAGCATCAGAGATCAATAATGCGCATTTCCACGACGATAAATCTCAGATTATAAGTGTATAAGCTGCACAACTCTGTGCTACTCTCTAGAGAATTAACCATTTACTACTACTTTTTTTTTGTCCTTCCTCATTAAAAGTGTAAGCTGATAAATAGCTTGTGGTCTTGAATTTGATTTTACCTAATTTATAAAAATGAGGGATTTGAGTAAGGAAATCAAGTGATTCGATTATGTAGCCTGGTATACCTCTAGTCAGCAAAATAATAGTGATCATGAACCTATAATCAAAATGTTTTAGTGTGGTGGCAAAGCGACCGACCATGACCTATGGCCGAGTGAATCCTAGGGTTCCAATTTGATCTAATGTATTGTCAGATTCGGCCCAAGAAGCAAAGGAACCATCTAGCCGTTAGAGTTATTATTTATTTTAGGAGCCAATAGTTAGAGTATAAAAATCTCCTAGCTAAAAAAAAAAAAAAAAAATCTCCTAGCTCTATTGGTAATGGCAACAGGCTTAATATTAAATTTCTACTTTTCATATATTTTTAATAAACTAGCATATAATGGGCCAAAAAGTTTTTTTTTTTTTTGCTTGGAGCCTTGTAAAATTTAGTGGTTGACATTCAAACCAAACAAAGAAAACCATAGGTCGGAGATCATTACAAAGGCCCACTATCAAAACCAAACAGGAAAAACTAAACCTTCTAAGCTTGATCTTCTACTATTACATTCGAGTTTCTTGTTTGATTTTGGCTTGCTTTTTTGGTTTTATAAAAATAACCAACCATTAATTCGGTCAAATTTGATTTCGGGGTTTTTCAATAAATTCTGAAAAACATTCTTTCTAATTTTGCTGCATTACTTGTAGATGACATTTATTATGGGAATACTGTACATTCATAATTCTATTCTTCAGTTTCTTTTCCCTTTAAGAATGGTAACGGTTCTTAGTGCGTTTCTGACTAGAAACATGCATGTTAGAACCTCACGTGTTTCCACTGCGATTCTTTTTTTTGTTTTCATCCTAGTAATAAACAAATTAAGAACCATCAAGAATATATATCTAATCATTTTCATTATGCATAAATTATCTTAGCTTTCTCACTTTTGTATTTGTATAATAGAGACGATAATTTATATATGAATGGCAATTGAAAGATGTGTCGGAAGATATTATTTCTATAGGCTATATATCAATAACTTAATACTAAATTAAAAAACAAAATGTATCCAGCCGCGTTGACTTGTTTATCTACCGTTTTCAAAGAAGGTATATAAGATATGAATGAAATCTTATAATTAATTCTAACGAGTTACGAAAGTGAATGAACAACGTATCTGCTACCAGACCGGATTAAGACAGATTAAGTCAGATTAAGACACGTGAATTACATATCTGCTACCAGAATAGATTTAAGACATACTCGACTAGTGACTAGTCTAATGTTCTTCCGTGACCTAATATTGTAGTAAGATCAATACAGGTCAACTATGCTAGCATCTCTGGTGATAACATAAACAAGAGTAAGAATGATTGTATCCGACATATTGTTGTTAGGTGGGTCCATAGTAATATATGGAGGAATCTGTTATATATTGTGCAAAGCTGATGATAGTTTTTGACTTTTGATATGAGACAAAAAGTGATTTGCAGTAGATATTTGTGATAAACGGTTAAAAATCACTAACAATAACAAAACTATCGATATAGTGAATTTTTTTTGGGTCAAACTATCGATAGTGAGTTACTACTTCATCTTCTTCTTCTTTTTTGTGTGAAAATCTGCCATAGAGCTGTTAGTTTATGACATGTAAATCATTTCAATCATAGTATAAAACCATAAAAAGTTTTACTTTACTCATTATTAATATATTTTTTTTCTCTAACTAATACTTTAAAACAATATATAGAATTAAAACTATATTTTTATTCAAAAGTTTGGATTATAAACATAAAACAATATTTACTATGAAGCAAAAATAAAATATCAAGAAGATATTATATACAAAAACGGATGGAGTATTTGATATGATAGTAATTTTTTTTTAAAAGGCTTTCAATATAGTAGCAAATTTCTAACTGTCACAAATCTGTTTCATATATAATCATCACTAAAATTTGCAGTAAATATCATGACTATGGTATCTCAACTGCTACTAAAAAAATACTAGTTAACAGATAATTAGAGAAACACTAATAGAATAAATAATTAATTTGGGATGTCAAATCTAATGCTCGTGCTCACTAATAGAATCTCATTCTCGTGACCCTTCTGCGTTGACACCAGCCGAACGCAACCACCACCTCTAGTACGGAAGTTTGATTTTAACTTCCTAGAAAGAAAGAATCGAGAAAATGTTTAGTGGATCTTATTTACCATTTTTTATAGCAATGATAAGATAATTTAACTTACCATATCATAAAACCTTTGACCAAAAAATATATATAAATAAATCATTAATTATGTACAAATACTTTTGCGTACTTGGAAAAAATAGTTAAATCCATATTTACTATTTTTCATCTTCTGGATTTAAAACTCTTATATCAACAACAAAGTACTCCAAGAACATCAGTGACATTCCAACCATAGCCCTGGGCCAAATATAGTGTCTTGCTTTTTCTGTATATATGAATAATTGTCCATGTTATATACACATTATCATGTTTGATCTATGAAACCTGATCACATGCAGCATGTTGGACCAATATTAGTTTTTTTTTTAAAGAATTATTTTCTTTATAAAATACAGTTGGGATTTCTTGCGATAGTACTGATCATTGATTGCTTGTTATATATAATCATGTACCGAAAAATTATATGAAAGAGAAAATCAAATTGACTCAGTATGGAAGTATTAAATTAAATGAACAGAAATACTCAAGAGAGTAGACTCAAATCACTCAACACAGCTCCCCACGTGTATGTATACATGTAAATGTACAAACAACTGCATGTATATAGTTATGTGCAATTAAGTTATTAAAGTCATAACCAGAAACCCCCCCAAAACAATAGAAATTTAAAATATTATTTTATGTTTTCATATGTATAATTGAATTTGTTTTGATTTAGCTTTAAGAGCCGTTATACTGGAATACGATGGTATGGACGATTAGGGTATTTATATGGCGATGGCACACCAACGAGTAGCATCTTTTTAAAATAACTACACGTATAAATTTCTATGGCTCAAGCATATAAATGAGAAAAAAAAGACTTGAAACTTGCAACCCTATCAAGTATCTTTATCATAATAGATACCACAAGATGTCATTTATTTTTTAATTATACATATACACTTTTTATATGATATCGCCAAAAGAAAATTTCAATAATTCTTCATTATTTGGAAAATTCTTCCCTTCTGCTGTACTACAATTCAAATTATTCAATAATTAAGTCACGCCCAATCATGCATGTAGCTACTAGGATTACTTTTCGATACTCTTAGCGAAAACTTTTAGAGATAAACTATCTAGCGATCGTTGATTTTTTCAATATACCAGAAAATTGTGATAAGCTGAAGAATTCTTTATGTAGTCTGAACTTTCTTGAACTTTTTTACCAAAAAAAAAATTCTTGAACTTGCTGAGCTCTTTACATATATATATATACTGAGAACATAGAGAAAACTACTTTCGGAACCAAAAGAAAACTTATAAAAAAAAACTACTTTGATTTTTTTTTTTTTTGCGGTAGACATATTTCTAAAGTACGTATTATACATTCATGGCATATATTATCAACATCGAGCTTGGAACTAAAAACGTTTTTTGACCAAACATTAAAAAATATTTGTCATAAAATGATATTTACTTACAATATTGGACCAAGTAAGTGTGATAAACTGATAGTATACAGCGTTGACCAAGCAGATAATGTAGAGTACTCCTTAAGAATATGGAGAACATTAGTGAGTTTGGTATCAATCTTTGTCACTATTTATTTTGCGCCTCCAACTTTATGCATTTGATATATCCTTGTTTATTTATTTAATTGAGACGATAACGGCAATTACAGCTTCATTGAATCCAGTTTCTAAATCAAACTAATGAAAGAAAATCGGACGGAGTCGTCTTGCTTGACTATTAATGTCGTCTCCTCATTAATAATTTCAATGTCCGATCTATCACGTAAGTCAAAGTAAACCTTACTTAGTAGAAAATCCTAATTGCAAAATTGTAGTTTC